AAAGGACCCATGCTGGAGCAGTTTGTGAAGAACTGCAGCCTGTGGGAATGGCCCACGTTGGAGAAAGTTCGTGGAGGACTGTCTCCCGTGGGTGGGACCCCACGTTGGAGCAGGGGAAGAGTGTGACGAGCCCTCGCCCTGAGGAGGTGAAGCGGCAGAAAATAACATGTGATGACCGTAAACCCCATCCCTGTCCCCCTTGTGCCGCTGGGGGGGCTTGGTGGAGAAATCCGGGAGTGAAGTTGTGCCCGGGAAGAAGGGAGGGGTGGAGGGAAGGTGTTCTGAGATTTCGTTTTATTTCTCATTTACCTTACTCTGGCTGATTTGTAATAAAAAGTGAGCTAATTTTCCCTAAGCTGAGTCTGTTTTGCCCGTGATGGGAATTAGTTAATTATCTCCCCTGTCCTTATCTCGACCCGCAAGTTTTTTGTTATATTTTTCTCTCCCCTGTCCAGCTGAGGATGGGGGAGTGATAGAACGGCTTTGGTGGGCACCTGGCGTCCAGCCAGGGTCAACCCATCACAAAAAGGTAATTACAGTTTTTTTAAGATGAAAACGCCTAAATTCCTCTTTACTTAGGTAACTGAGTGTACAATATCTTCAGTCTTAAAAGTTTGAAAACTGGTGTGCAGACCTCCCTGTGCATTTGGGAGAGTAAATATATGTGTATGCACATACATATGTATGTGTTCGTGTCTTTTGGCTGGTCTTATTTTTTAAGCTCTTCTTGCCAGTCCTGATAATGTAAGGATAATGGCTACAGAACTGATGACTTAAATTTACAAAACCCAGTTATTCTGGTCCTTATGCAAGAGCTGAGAGCATCTTGATAGTATGGTATTTACAGCTGCCCCCCAGACTCCAAAATACTAAGTCATTTTATATCCCCTCCCTAAGATCTGTTTTGTGACCCTAATTGTACCTGAGCCAAGTGACTCATTGTCATGGTTTAACCCCAGCCAGCAACTAAGCACCACGCAGCCGCTCACTCACCCCCCCCCCATCCAGTGGAATGGGGGAGAAAATCAGGAAAAGAAGTAAAACTCCTGGGTTGAGATAAGAACGATTTAATAGAACAGAAAAGAAGAAACTAATAATGATAATGATAACACTAATAAAATGACAACAGTAGTAATAAAAGGATTGAAATGTACAAATGATGCGCAGGGCAGTTGCTCACCACCCGCCGACCGACACCCAGCCAGTCCCTGAGCGGCGATTCCCCGCCCCCCCACTTCCCAGTTCCTAAACTAGATGGGACGTCACATGTATGGAATACACTGTTGGCCAATTTGGGCCAGGTGCCCTGGCTGGGCATGAGAAGCTGAAAAATCCTTGACTCTAGTCTAAACACTACTGAGCAACAACTGAAAACATCAGTGTTATCAACATTCTTCACATACTGAACTCAAAACATAGCACTGTACCAGCTACTAGGAAGACAGTTAACTACATCCCAGCTGAAACCAGGACACTCATTTTCCACAGGAGGAAAGAAACCTTCTAGTGCTTAAGTTTTTTCTGCTCCTCTTGCAAGAAAGGCATCAGTTGCTTCTTGTGCAGGTGGCAGTACTCACTTTGGGTGGAAGATGATGGGTTTTTTCTCAGTAGGAGAATTCTCATTGACAAGGCCAGAATTCCGACTCTCAGAATTAGGATTGTGTGGCTGCTTTCTGATGTTAAGGGCTGTGGAAGACAAAGGCTTTGAAGTGTGGAAGGATAAATATTGTTGCAGCAAATTGCTTAAGAGACATTCTGGGAATAAAAAGCCAACTACAGTTGTATTGACAGTCATCCTGTTTTACATCAGGGTGGACAAAATAAGCAAGATCATTTCCACTGGAGAGGTTAAACACATAATGGTATTGTCTTTTATGGTTACTTATATTTATTTTTAGCTTATTCAATTCAGTTATGTACACATAATGAATTTCACTTTTTCTAGGCAGGATATTAAATTGTATTTTTGGCTCAAAATGTCTCATCTTTCTCTATACCTACAGTGATATATGGTCTCTGGGATGTATTCTATATGAGCTGTGCACTCTGAGACATCCAGTAAGTACAGCTTTATTGCTATGAGAAAAGTTTTGGAATTGCTTAATTAGCAGTTAGCTGTAGTTCAATGGATTCACAGCCAATTATTTATTTGACTGATGTGTTTGCTGCTGCTTCTGAAAGAGGGAAGTGTTGCTCCATCCTCCCCACCCATACTCCACTACATGCCCTCTGTTTTTTCAGCAGCTCTTGGACCTATTGGACCCTTCTGTGAAACACTCAATTTTCTAAATTGTTAGAAAAAAAAAATCTTTTTTTTTCTTTCTTGGTTCATTTTCGTCAATATCAGTAAGGTGATCTGGGGCTTATTAAGGAGTTCAGCAGGTGCCAGTCTGGTTCCAGGTATCTGCAGGAATGTTGCAGTGAGCATTGCATTTTACAGGATCAAGATGATCACTAAAGATGGAGGCAAGGACACTCAAAATCTTTGCTAAAGAGCATATATTGTATGCAAGTATAGCAAAATAGAGTAAGCAATAAGCAGTTTTGTTCCTCACATCAGTGGTACATCTGTTTGCTGATTCTTCAAATCAAAGTCCAGGCACTGTCCTATTGGGACAGTGGGAACCTTGATGGACAGTTCCATCTCTCTGTTATTACTGGGACGCTGTCTTTTACGGTGTTGATGCTCTGCTTTCTTATGTGTTAACTTCCTCTGGCTTCTATATACAGACACATGGATAACACAAGAACCCTTGTCAGGATATGTTTGTTTTGCAAGAAAATTAGATCCTCCTAATTTAAGGTCATTTCGTCTTATTTTTTTGTAAGCAGAAGTTTCCTTTCATGGAGCTGATACTATACCTTGAAATCCTGTGTATCAGCAAAAGATCCTCGACAGCTGCAACTGCTAGCAGTACAAGAGTTTAGAAGTTTATACTGTATGTGACTGAGTGATAAGGAGTCTGTGCATAGGCGTGTGTTAGCCTAAGTAGGTCTGTGGCAAGGCTTTGGCAGTGTCACAGGTATTCAGGCAGTGCTCAGAGCTGGGATACCAAGGAGTGGAGTATTCTTCCCTTTTCAGCAGCAGTGAAATGTTATGTATCTGGTTTTATGTGATGGTCACATACATTCTTGCATAATCTATCAATCAGAGATGACATAAAAGGATGCCACACGCCATGGATGCTTGGCACTCCACAGCTAAGCCCGTGCAGTGTACCGTAAGAAAATGTCCTGCATGGAAATAGAAGTTCTCGGCCATTTTCGCTCAGGCTGTTGCCATCCATAGTTGTAGCTGTCCCTGCTGATATTGCAGTCATCCAATGACTTGTACTTGGAAGCAGTAATTCCTGACTGAAGACTGGTTAATGGTCAGCTGAGGAAAGTAACAACTTCAGCCATTTCATGTAGATTTGCAAGAGGATATTTGTGCCTTGATAGGCTACTTTTGATGATGATTCTTTTTTTTTTAATCAAAGTCTGCATCTTTCCTGGCTTACAGTTTCACTCTTGCAGTTTGATTCTGATCTCAAGTATATGAAGTAAAGGACACTAAGATGATCCAAATTTTCTCAATGCTATATTCCTACAAAAATAAAATTTGAACAATCCTAAATTTATAGGAGTAACTTCCACCTGGTTTCCAGTTGTACAGATTATTATTTGCAGTGTCCATTATGATCTGGTTTTAGTCAGACTTTTTATGCAAAATACGATGTTTTAATTCTCAGCAAATTACGTTTCTGTCATTGTTAACAAATAAATGCCTATGTCATAGCCCTACAAAATGTAAAGGAAAGTTACTGATGTGTTCAATCAGGGTCGTTATCATGCGCATCTGAATTGGAGCCCTGAAACTGTCAAACTGGGAGCCAGATCAGTATGGTAATAGTGAGCCTACGTAGATACATACCATGCATTTTTATATAATAAATGTTAAAGTTGTTCTTAAATTGTATCAGCTTCTTTTTTACCTTATGCTTAAGGTAACTTTGTGCTCTAATGTTCATTTATTTTTAATGCAGTTTCAAGCCAATAGCTGGAAACATCTCATCCTTAAGATATGCAAAGGGTCCTACAATCCGCTACCATCTCACTATTCTTATGAACTTCATTACTTAATAAAACAGATGTTTAAGAGAAATCCCAAGAACCGTCCATCAGCCAGTACTATTCTTGCAAGAGGTTGCTTAACCAAACTTATAAAAAATTGTTTGCCTTCTGAGGTATGGTATATTATTTGTCTCTAGATGTAAACAATAGTATCTACATTTTAGATACTAAGTCAGTTTCTTTTGTATTTTGTTAGTGTGTAACAATATGAAGTGTAGTGTTTAGCTACTTTTATTTAGCTACTCTAAAAGCCAAAAATACAGTTGCAGACTTCTCAGAAAACTGAGTTTTTATAAGGGTTTGTTTTGAAAATAGAAGTTGAATATTGACATGATGCTGCTAAAATTAGATATTGTTAGCTGTAAGAATGCTTTTGTATAGTAAGTCTGTTTTTATCAACTAGCATATACAGTAATTTGAGAAAGGTTAAAAAGGTACAGTACTTGAATCTCTTCATACACATTCCAGATAACACATGAGTTTGAGCAGGTATTAAAGGAAACCAAGAAACATGAAGGCAATGCAGCAAGACCAAAGGGTAAGTCAGCAACATTTTTCTTGATGTAAGGAATAACAAAATAACTAGGAATTGTACAATCTTAAATACTGCTATAAAACATTAGTATTGTATGTTCAAATCTACTTCTAATTATTTCAAAATCTAGTATTACTGAACTTGTATGGAAGAATGCTTGAAGGGCGTAAATTATATTCCAGCGTGAGAAGTACAGTGCAGAGCTACAATACGTACATTGTGAGTCTTAAGACTTGTGCTAGAATTAAACCTTTCCATTTTAAAACAAGCAAAACTTTTAGGTGTTGCATGTATTTTAAATATGACAGTGCTTTACTTCCCAGAATATGGTGAAGCACGTTATTTTAATTATTTAATTTTTAGAGACAATGTTGGATTTTCTTCTTCTGAATAAATTTAGCCACACCAAAATTTGTACACATTTGGAACTGAATAGTAGAGGGACTCCCTGTTGAGAATGAGCTACGTTGACAGAAGTGTGAAGAAGCTTTCACATAATTGTCATTGCTTGGTTCAGTGGTCTTGCTGTCACACCTCTGGAATACCACTTTACCACAAGTGTTAGCTAAAGGTATTAACTCTTGAACTTGTTCCTTAATGTATCAGGTAATGTCATGGCTGGTGGAAGCTCAAATAATAAGAAAGAAAATAGGGTAAGTATTCAAATATAAATATAATATTTGTATTTTAGTAATTTAGAATGTTCTGTATTATAGAAAAGTTAATATGGAAAATTGCTAGTATGTTAAACCGTAGATCAGCCTACTAGGTCAGCTGTTAGTTGTCATCTGTGTTCAAATTGCAGAGTTTTCCTATGGATTTCCCACCACTGTAACTTTTTGATGCTTCCCACATTTAGTTTAGTTCCAAAGTGGATTTCCTTATTGCCCTGTCAAAGAAAAAAACCAAACCAAAAACCCTTCTCCTGTTTTTCTAAGTTTTGGGATACTGCAAAAATTGGTTCATTTTCTTTGCTTTAGGGACACATTTTGAACAGGCTGCTGTGGAAACAGTCTAGTCTGGACATAAGTCTCACTAGGTTTTAGGGCCCATGTGAGATTTCGGGTGAGGAGTATTAAGTCACAGGTGGCCAAGAAGTCACCTATGGGTACATTATAGCACAGTCTGGCTCAGCCATATTAGGTATATTTTTCAAAACATGTTGCCAGTAGGGCTTTTTTTTTTTTTTTTTTTTTTTAAATAGACCTGTCAATCTGAGAAGCTTAATATTCGGGTGCATCTTGTTTTCCCTGGGAATATGATGCATTTATTTTTATATTGCTTCTGTTCTTACATGTAAAAAACTAAAACCACAAATTGCATCAGGTAACTACATATGTGCTTAGCTTCAAAAACTGAGATTGTCTAAAAAGGGCATGCAGTGTGAAGTGCAGTGGAATAATGGATACAGTGCAATTGCAGTTGGCTTCATGGTGTCAGTGGTTTCGTTTTCAGATCTTTAGGCCAGCCATTTAATAGCAAAACTGAAGTAATTAATGCCATGTTAATATTACTGCTTTGTTTTTCTCGGCAACAAGGATAATGATTAATACAGTCTTTATTCTTTTAAAGCAAAATAAAGATGAAAGCAAGTGTAGCCCCTTAGGAAGGAAAAATATTACTAAGTATTTGAGTGAAAGCACAAAGGAACGAAGGAAATCTGATGAAGACGGTAAGTTTCATAGTTTTAAGGCTGATGCATTTCCTTCTGTGTAGTGATACCTAAATGTCAATGATCCAGCCATTTAAACAGGCAGAGCATACACATCTGCACCTATAGAAAACCATGCCACTGTGTTGCTTCTGCAATTATATTGATTCTTACTGCTTGTCTGAGATTTTAAAAAAAAAGAAAATCTTGGCTAAAGTGTTAAAAAATGACTGTTTGAAAACATTTGGCATAAAGTCAACGTATGGGAAGCTCTTACCAAGTTCAGACTTGTACCCACAGAATCAAACGTCACTGTTAGTGAAGTGCTGTACGCTTAGAACTAGTTTGCATGGACAGAGAATCAAGTTAGATGCTCGTTATCATCCTTTTGTTGTTGTTGTTGTTGCAATTACAGTAGAAACTTCTGATGTCCTCCCAGGAATTACTGATTTGTCACATCCCTGTAGGAAGCAATGGGAAAAGAGGATATCCAATACCGTAGTGGATGTCCTGGAAAATGTGTCCTTGCTTTCTTCCAGTTTTATATCTGAAGAGGCTAAAAGTAAGATTTAATTAAATGTGCTTTAAAGTAATTTTAAGTTCAAGTAATACCAGTGGTTCTTTACAGATTTTAAAAGCCAAAACTTTACAGGGCATATTTAAAAGGATGTAAAGATAATTTTTAAACATTTTATTAACAAACACTCAAAGTCCACTGTGCTGAAGAGAATTTCTTAGTGGTCTTGTGTGACAGGAGGATTGCAAAGAGTGATGAAAGCCACAGATAACATTAGCAACCCTAAAATTATCATCATCACTAAGAAATTATCCTACCAACCCTCATCTTAATATGCCATTTGTGGGGGTAACACAGAGGAATTCATTTGATGCAGAATGCAGCTGCCTGTCTTTCAAGGACAGCATACTATTGGGAGCGTGGAACATCCGTACCTTTACTTGTGTTGTCATTTCACATACAGATAATGCCAATGACAAGAGCTATTAATGATGTGCCTCAGACGTGAGGCAGAGATTCTTCTTCCACATCAACAGCTTTTAATTAGAACACTTAACACGAGGTTTCTTCTGAAAAATGTTTCAGTTTTAAAATGCCCCACACTGTATGCAGTTGTTATAATCATTTCATGTGAATATGGATATGTATTCTAAATAAATGTCAGTAGATGCTATTGAAATAAATAATCGAGATATGGCTAGTCAGAAAATTCCCAAGCTGTGGTAGGAACATTACGTGATAATTACATGCAGGTGTCCTGGTTTCGGCTGGAATAAAGTTAATTTTCTTCCTAGCAGCTGGTATAGTGCTGTGTTCTGGATTTAGGATGAGAATAATGTTGATAACACACTGATGTTTTAGTTGTTGCTGAGCAGTGCTTACACCAAGTCAAGGACTTTTCAGCTTCTCATGCCCAGCCAGCAAGACGGCTGGAGGGGCACAAGGAGTTGGGAGAGGACACAGCCAGGACAGCTGACCCCAACTGACCAATGGGGTATTCCATACCATGTGACGTCATGTCCAGTATATAAACTGGGGGGAGTTGGCCGGGGGACACTGTGGCTTGGGGATTGGCTGAGCATCGGTCAGTGGGTGGTGAGCAATTGTATTATGCATCGCTTGTTTTGTATATTGTCATCATCATCTTCTTTCTTCTTCTTGTTACTATTATTATTATCCCTTCTTTTTCCATCCTATTAAACTGTCTTTATCTCAACCCACCAGTTTTCCTTCTTTTTTTTTCCATTCTCTCCCCCATCCCACTGAGGGGAGGAGTAAATGAGCAGCTGTGTGGTGCTTCATTGCCAGCTGGGGTTAAACCACGACAGCAGGGCAAGGGACGAGGACAGAAGAATGCATGTATTTAGGTGCTCTGCTATTAAAAGGCACAAAAATGGCCACAGGCTCTGTTTTGTGAGATTTATAGAGCCACCAAATACGCTTGCAGAGACTCTGACTCCTCCCACCCCGCAGCAATTTTCTGCTGGCTCCCTGATAGCAGAAGGCTCCACTGTGGCATTCTGTAATTTACTCTTAATGCTGATAGTGTCAACCTCAGCAGTGCTACAGATGGAAACATCTAGACTATTTTCTTCCTGTGTTTCTCTCTTGAATGTGATCTTTGTAATCCGCACTGCTAATGCAATTTTGTCTAAGTAGTATTAATTAATGATTTTATACCTAGGTGGCTGTGTTATAAACTACAGTGAAAATAAGCCACGTAAGCAGTGGAACAAGGAAACTCCTCAGACCCTGATGAACATTCTCAATAATGCAGATGTCAGCTTAGCATTTAAAACATACACAATTTATAAACCAGGTAAATCCCCAGTGTGCGGGCAAACTTTTGGCAAACAGGTTTATTAATAAACACATTGGGTTTTTTTTCCTACATAGCCCCTACATATAGAGCTTGTGCACTTGGAGTTCATGTCACAACAGGCTGTTTTGTTTTATTTAAAGTTTGCCAAATGAAATTTGGGATTACAAAAATCCAAGCTGGGAATTCACGAGTGATTGTACATCTCCACTACATCTCTTTATGAAGAATGTTCGCTTGCAGCTCAATAGCCGAATAAGGTTGTGACAGAAACGCAGGGACTGCAGAGCCTTGTGTTCTCCATCCTGCTAAGCAGCCTGGTGCATGTGTTAGGGAGGTGCAATAAATGGGCTGCAGGCCTGTCGGGTAAATCTGCCTTCACTAAGTGGGTCAGTAGTGCCTGGTTTGAAGACGGGATGGTAAGATGGCACAGCAAAAGATAACTGCAGTTTATAGATGTGCACAGCTACAGTCATAAATACTTGTTCTGCACTTCAGTTGCATTACTGGTTTACCTCTCCACTTAAAATAGGTAACAGCTTGTACTGGAATCTGCTAAGAACTGGGGACAAATCAGAAGGACTATATTGTATTTATATTCTTAATTTTATTCTTAAAGTATTTTGGTGACATTTTCATATTTTCAAAGCTTCTGAAAATACATTAAGAGGTCCGCTTTCTGATGGAACTGAAGCATCTGATGAAGTAGATGGTGAACATGAAGCTGTTGTCATAGATTTGGAGAGACTTGAGCCTAGATCTGATGAAGATGACACGTACGTTCAAATGACATCCTTATATTTTTGGGTTTTTTTGTTCCTCAAAGTGATTTTTTCAAAAAGACATTCCCCTGAAAAAAAAAATTTTCTCAGCATCTAAATCCATCCCTCTCTTGCATACGGATACTAAAATTTATTAATGCTTGATATCTTACAGGTTTTCTGTGCTATATTTATAGTTATTGATGGTGTTGAGATTAAGCAGGTTGCTTGTTATTAGCAGATATGCTAATAATTTGCTGATGACTTTACAAAAATGAAAGCATGAGATGAAATTAGATCCATAGTAAAGTGCAAAACCTTCTTGCAGGAAGTATCTTTGTACTCTGACCTTGAAATCAGATAACCAGTGGCAAAACCACTTGCCTAGTGGTATGTTTGCTGTGTTTGCATATTATTCTTCCTACTCGTTCATGCATAGTGCAATAAAATCACTTTGGTAACTACTTACTGAGATGTATTTGTAGAAACTTTTTAACTTCTATTTATGTTAGCGGCCCACTCCTGGTTTTGAAAGTGTACATCAACACATTCTGACAGAAATACTGTATTTTACAGATGTGTGTATATTTTGGGGGGAGTTTCTTGGATTCTCAGAATCTTAGTTTATGTCATTGCTTATTTTTGTGGCACTTGGAGACAAACTACTTGGGCATGTATTACTGCAGTTTGGCTGCAAGCCGTTAATATCAGCACATTTGCACTGTCTTAGTGTATGCATTTGTTTTTGCTTTTGATAAAACTTACTTGGGTAAATTCAAGAGAGGACATCTAGTGGTTCCTTAAACACAATGGTGCAGGAAACAAGTCTCGTGTTGATATTTTTAACATAATTTCTCCTGGTTGTAGGGTAATTGGGGGGTGTGGGGGGAGCATATAAAGATTTATAAAGTTGTATTCTGCTTTGCAAAATTAACATTTTGAAACCTATTTTCAGGGACTTTGAGGAAGATGACCCAGACTGGGTGTCAGAACTGAAAATGGTATTGAAACACAGTGACTGAAAACTTGAATTTACCTACAATAACTGAAGTTAGGCTTGCCAGTATTTATAATCCAAATCATTGTTAATAGTTGTAGTTATTAATAAAATTATTTCGGTCAAAAAATTCTGAGTGGGCATATTTTCTGTATCACAAAACTGAGGGTGGAAAATGCATAACCAACTTTTTTAGCTAGAATACTTGCAAATAACTAAACAAGTCTAGATATTAAAAGTACTTGGAGCAGGTAACAGCTTTGCAGAAATGTTCAGTCAAAAGCATTAGTGCTAATAGCATTGTTCACATTGCTTTGTTCACAAACCTTATCCAGTTTCAAAGAGATGGTGTAACACTATGAGAATGTGTAAAATTTTTCTTCCTGAGTACATACTGAAACACTATGTTGTGGTGGGCTGACCCTGGCTGGATGCTAGTGCCCACCAAAGCCGCTCTGTCACTCCCCTCCTCAGCTGGACAGGGGAGAGAAAATAGAACGAAAGGCTTGTGGGTCGAGATAAGGACAGGGAGAGATCGCTCACCAATTACCGTCACAGGCAAAACAGACTCGACTTGGGGAAATTAATTTATTGCCAATCAAATCAGAGTAGGGTAATGAGAAATAAAACCAAATCTTAAAAACACCTTCCCCCCAGCCCTCCCTCCTTCCTGGGCTCAACTCCACTCCTGATTTTCTCCACCTCCTCCTCCCGGTGGCACAGTGGGACAGGGAATGGGGGTTGGAGTCAGTTCATCACACTTGTGATACAGTTGTCTCTGCCACTCCTTCCTCCTGTGGAGGGGGAGGACTCCTCACTCGTCCCCTGCTCCAGCGTGGGGTCCCTCCCATGGGATACAGTCCTCCATGAACTACCCTGGCATGGGTCCTTCCCACAGGCTGCAGTTCTTCACAAACTTTGCTGGCACGGGTCCTTTCTGTGGGCTGCAGTCCTTCAGTCACAGACTGCTCCAGCACAGGCTTTCCCATGGAGTCACGGCCATCTTGGGGGGTATTCACCTGCTCCAGCGTGGGCTCCTCTCTCCATGGGCTGCAGGTGGAGATCTGCTCCACCGTGGACCTCCCTGGGCTGCAGGGGGACAGCCTGCCTCACCATGGTCTTCCCCACAGGCTGCAGGGGAACCTCTGCTCCGGCACCTGGAGCATCTCCTCCCCTCCTTCTTCACCCACCTGGGGGTCTGCAGGGTTGTTTCTCTTACATGTTCTCACTCCTCTCTCTAGCTGCAGTTTCTGTGCCCTGCAACTTTTTTTTCCTTCTTAAATACCTTATCCCAGAGGCACTACCACTATTGCTGATGGGCTCAGCCTTGGCCAGCGGCGGGTCCGTCTCGGAGCCGGCTGGCATTGGCTCTGTCGGACATGGGGGAAGCTTCTGGCAGCTTCTCACAGAAGCCGCCCCTGCAGCCCTCCCACTACCACAACCTTGCCACCCAAACCCAATACATACATAGTAGGAATAACTGATCTTGCCTGAGGGGCATATTATGGAAAACATTTAGCTATGCTAAATATTTGAGGCTTTAGTTCATGCAGTTATTAATCTTCTGAAAACTCTTGGGGCTGAGCTTTTGCCTTAATTGCTTCGATGAAAAAGCTTTTATAAACGCCATTGCACATGTGGAAGGAAGCTAATTTGTCCATAAATAGGGGTGAATCTTCCGATTTTGATAAGGAGACACACTTCTGCTTCAGAAAGCGTTATGGGCAATGTCCCATTTGGGCTCTGTGCCGGCTACTGGGTACTAAATAGTCATTTTGCAGAAGCACGGCAGGGGAGAGCAGAAAGGCTCTCAGCAGAGTTCTCCCGGGGAAGCTGTTCCAGATGGTGTCCACCTAATAAATAATATTAGAGAGTAATAGGTAAGAAAAGCTTTAGGACACCTGTAGCTGCCGTACGGAGGCGTTTTGCAGCGCGCAGGCTGGGACGCGAGGCTCCGCCAAGGCCTCCATGGCCCGAGGCGGTCCAGAAGATTCTCCCGTGGGCCACCCCGCTCCTGTTCCTGACCCCCCAAAGCCAAAGCCCACGGCCCCGGGCGGAAGGTGCGCTCCGCCCGCGGGAAACGCGGATCCCGCTCCTCCCGACGGGCCCTTCGCCCTTCCCGGCCTCGCCTGCGGGCTCTGCCGCCGCTTCCAACGCCGGACCTCCGGCCGGGGCGGCGGGGGGAGCTCCGGAGGCGGCTGGGCGCACGCAGGTACCGCGTCCCACCGGCGGCGGGCCGGGCCGGGCCGGCTCT